CAGCAGAGCCAGCCTGTCCACCCGGATACTCCCATGCCCAGCAGCCCAGCCGTTCCTCAGCAGAGCCAGCCGGCCACTTACCCCGCTGTTCCTCAGCAGAGTCAGCCTGCCCACCCAGACACCCCCAAGCCCAAGCCTACTCCTTCCACCAGCAGCGCGCAGCCCAAGCCTACCCAGCCATCCGGTGGCAATGGTCACTTCCCAACCAACGGCGACAAGTGGTCCATTACCTACACTCCCTACGCCAAGTCCGGCCAGTGCAAGGAAGCTAGTGAGGTTGCTGCTGACATTGAGAAGATCGCTGGTCTAGGTTTCACCACTATCCGTGTGTACAACACCGACTGCGGTGTCTTCGAGAACGTTGTCCCTGAGTGCGAGAAGCACGGACTCAAGATCATTTACGGTATCTACCTCGAGGCTGGCGACAAGGGCTGCTTCTCCGAGTACGCCAACAAGCAGCTCGACGACATCAAGAACAAGGCCCCCAAGGACAGCGCCTCCATGGTCATTGTCGGTAACGAGTGCATGTTTAACGGTAACTGCCAGCCCGAGCAACTTGCTTCCTACATCGACCACGTCCGCGATGAGCTCCGTGGCGCCGGCTTCCCCTCGACTGTCCCTATCACCACCACCGAGCCCGTCGATGTCTGGGAGAGCAAGGGTGCCGCCCTCTGCGACCACATTGACGTCTTCGTCTGCCAGGTCCAGCCCTACTTCACCCAGTCCGTCAGTGCCGACATGGCCGGTGACTTTGCCGCCCAGCAGCTCGAGCAAGCCTCCAAGGTCTGCCCCGAGGCCGCTGCCCGTGGTGCCTACATTGGCGAGATCGGATGGCCTTCCCAGGGTCAGACCAACGGCAAGGCCGTCGCTAGCCCCGACGCTCAGCGCACCGCCATGCACAAGATTCAGGAGGCTGTCGGTGACAAGGCTAGTGTTTTCTCCTACCAGGACGACTCCTGGAAGCCTGCTGGTGCCTATGGCGTTGAGCAGCACTTTGGCTGCATTGATGTCCTCTCATAAGCAATTCAACACAGTAACCTTTTAAGATGAAGGGAGGGGGGGAATCAATATTTATCCATATGTATCTCTATATGTAGCGCATCAACCACACACAACACGTTCAAATCCCAGTCAGCTTCGTTACTTATGCTGCGGGGTTCCATTTTATCACGCCATCATGTGTCTTACTATTTTCTTCCCTTTGTTTTATTAGTTCCTTTGCCCTTCGTTTGTGTAGTTATTCCTGAGAAACAAAGGAATACACACACAAATGAGGACTTGGCAATGTCGATATAGAGGATGAAGGTGGTTAGTTGTCAGCTTTGAGGAAGCCTGTGTAGCTGATTTTTTAGTGTTTAATTTCTTATACCTAGTAGCAAGTAGAGTGGAACAAAAAAAATCTAACTCTTGATACTATTGCAACTCCCTTCAAACAAGCTTTTTCTTTTTTTTCCCATCGGGTTTTTTTTTGGTTTTTTGGGGACATCATTGTCGAAGGGTTAGGGGTGCCGCGATAAGGTGCTTTTTTTTCGGTGAATTGGAGAAATTTAATCTCCGTGCAGGGGGATTATAGGGCCTTGTAAAGTAAGTTAGTGGCGTTTTTTTGGTTCTCTCAACAAATTAAACCAGGGGAGAGAACTCGATGGTCGCCCCTTCATAATAGAGAAAAAAAGAAAGAAAGAAAAAAAGCTGCTCATCTTTGCCTAGGCTTGCCTGTGTTTGTTGTAAATGCGAGCATGGTGGTGTCAAACTGTCGTTGTATCACTTAAACATGGCATCCATGCCGAAGGATGGGGTTGCAATATGCCCGTTTAGTCGAAGCTATGCCCACCGGCATATTTTGTTTTGTTTCTTCCGGCTCGTAGCGCTGTCAGCCGGCTTTACTGTCGTTCCGGAAATACGTAAGTATCCGAATATTTTCGTCTCTTCCTCAACCATGTCGATTTTTGTTTTGGTTAGTAAGTAGCCCGAATAATACCTCAAAAGGATTGTTGCGGTGTACCCGATAGTCGGGCCTTGATGTTTGATGAGGCTGCTACTTGCTATTAGTATAGGGTCTAAATACACGTCAGCGTGGGTGGATAAGCGTGCGTAGGTACATGCGGTTTCTTAGGCGAGTAGAAGGTGATCTAGGCCCAGCATCACGTGTGAGTCGAAGTAGGTTTGGGAGGGCTGTAATTGTATTTGCATGACGTATGTTATGTGGCTGAACTGGGGTTCAACGACCGATGCGTCGGATTGATGACAGTGGAATTAGGTGGCGGAAGGTGAAATTGCAAGCGTGGCTTGGGTTGAATCTAAGTAAGAAGGTGCGGGACGGGCTGAGGAAGGTGCAAGCATGCGTGTGTGTGTGTGTGTTTACCAGTGTTTGTTGTGAGGTGAGAAAACCGACAATAGGAAGGCGTGTAAACACTCGGGTATTGAAGTTGTATGCAGATGTTTGCAGTCTGAACAAAATCCGATAAATAACTTGTCGATGCTTCTCGCTGGCGCAATACTCACCTTGATCAATACCACATACTTTTTGTTTTTGCGACACAGCGAACTCACGCAAGATCTATTACTAGAAAGAACAGAAGAAGAACAAAGCTCCTCTGTACATCACATAGTCAGACAAGACGTCACGATAACTACACGTCAAAGTCCACTCCATACATCTATACTAACCCCCATCCGCCCAAGCGCCCCTGCAACCCGCCAAACCGGGAGATCGACAGGGCATGCGAGCCGCTTAAGAAAACAGCGCCATCGCAGCCTTGCTTTTCCACCCCGCCTTCCAAACGTCTGCTCTGAATATTCGTGTCTAACAATCCGAATACGCTATTTTTTCTTCCTATTTTGAACGACCGCGTAAATATCCCCACGTATAAACGCACTCATACACAGTATAAGTGAAGATGGTACCACGAGCTAAACCCCGGCATCGACCTTGGACAGTAGCAACAGTAGCTGGTGTGGCGTCACTGCTTCTCCCCGCTGCGGCACTCATGCGACTATACACTCTGTCGCGGTTTCCCTTGTATGCAGTTCTGTATACCTGTGTTGTTAATGGCGCTACGTTTTTGTTTTATGGGTATGATAAGATGCAGGCGCGCAATATGGAGTGGAGGGCCAAGGAAACGACGTTGCAGACGTTGGCGCTTGTTGGGGGATGGCCGGGTGCACTGGCAGGGATGCATTATTTCCAACACAAGACGAAGAAGGTTGCATTCCAGGTTGTGTTCTGGGGGATTGTGCTGTGCTGGGAGGGTGTAGCTTGGCTAGTGTGGAGTGGCGGGATAACCGTAAGAAGATGAAGGTGAGATCAAGACATTGATTGGATAGTTGAGCTTCATGAGATATTGAGTGTTATTACAAAGGGGTCATCGAGGTCGTGAGAGGTGGTTGTAGCCACCGGAAGAAAAGAGATGCGTCAGAATCATATCCAAACAACGAGAACGCTCATCAAAAACCAACCACTCATCCACCCATACATCATCACGCCGTTACTCCGCCTTCTTTGGGACATGGTACTGAGCGGTATCCTGAGTCTTGTTCGTTACTGCCGAGACAAGGTCAAGCGCAGCTTTGGGATAACTCTGGACAGTGTCCCAGTCAAGCCACACGTTCTTAGTTGAGTTCGACGCCGAGTCCCTGGCTTGGGTGACTGCGTGAACTGTACAGAGAAGGGGCATTAGCGACCAGTAAAGGGACGGGTGAGAGTGTCCGCAGCTTCACCAGTTTGCTCGCCAAGGGGGTTTTGGGTAGCGCCACCGGCAATGTTGCCGAGGCCCTTCTTGAGGCTCTTGATGTTCTCCTGGTCGGAGGCAGGAACCTTGTCGATGGCATCTGTAAGGTGTCAGTGTACTCCAGGTGATAGTGGGAGGGGGGTGGACTATGTCACGACTTACCCTTGGTCATGTAAGACATCTTGTTCTCGCCCATGGTCTTGAGTGCCTGGCGCTCCATCTTGCGCTTTAGCTCAGGCGAGATACCGAAAACGTACAGGTAGGCTGCTGTCAAGGCGATGAGGCCTGCGAAGATTGCGAGGAAGCTGACAGCCATGGTTGAAAGTTGGGAGTGTGTTTGTGAAGTGAGGGTTATAGATAAAGTACTGGTACTGGAGAGAGGTTGGAGAAAGCTGAAGAAATGTGATGGTTGTGTGTGTGTTGATCAAGACCCTGATTTTATGTATGGGCAAAACGGCATGACGTAGGAATCGCACATGCAAACCTGTCAGGCTTGCCTTGCTCCCGCTGCACGACCAGGATCGGCCCTTACACCCGACCATTTGATGGTTCCTCCCTAGACTGACGTCTCTTCCCTTCCCTATGATGTATTATCTTCTCTTGCTGATACTGGCGACAAGCACTCGGGGAGACGCGCCAGATGCGCCTCGAGTGGATTCGGTAAGGCCCATGCTTTGGGTGCTAGAGATGACAGGAGCCACTGTGGAGTGATGGCGGCTGACAGCAGAGATTCGCCAAACAGGCTGTTGCTCTCAGTGTGCACAGCAAAGCCGTAAGCAGTGCCAATGCAGCCTTGCATACATGGCCATGAGGAGGCAGCGGCAGCGGCAGCGGGATATACATAGACACGGAGAGTATTGGTGCGAACGTATAGACATGGTTGGGTTACGCAGCTAGGCGGTGCTGCGCCTCACAAAAGGTCAGCCACAGGCCACGAGGCGGACACGACTTTCAGGTGCGCCTGCGCCTGCCCCCACCGTCGGCCCAGGTGCAACTCCAGCTCGTCCAGAAACAGACCCTGGACTTATTGTTGCTGACCCAGCTCAGCCTGTGCCTCCTTTTTCACCACTTCTTTTTTTCCTTTGCCGCCCGCTCTTTTCCTCGTTCAGAACGCCTTGCTTCCTACGTATCTGTTGATACCTACCCCTCACCAACCTCCCCGCCAGCTGAACGCGCCCGATAGGCACCCCCAAAGCCTCACCTTCCGCCCCAAAACACGCCCGTCGCAGTCGTATAACTGCACACCGGCTTGCCCATCATGAGTATGTGCCTGCTCTCTGCATTGCGCTGCAAGCTGCTCGCCTGACTAACTGCGTGCACAGTGACCAACATGCTCAACAAGCTGCACGGCCAGCCCGACAGCTATGATCGCAAGTGGGTGCTTCTTGATACCCCGCCTCCGCTTGCACCCTTACTGAACGTACCAATTGCAGATCACGATACCGCTTCGGAAAGACACTGGGCGCCGGAACGTACGGTATTGTCAGGGAGGCTGACTGTCCTGAGGGCAAGGTTGCCGTCAAGATCATCCTGAAGAAGAATGTCCGCGGAAACGAGCAGATGGTCTACGACGAGCTGGAGATGCTGCAGCGCATGAAGCACCCGCACATTGTCAAGTTTCACGACTGGTTCGAGTCAAGGGTAGGCATGCTAACAAACGACGTGGGGCAGGCCAGTAAGCTAACATTCTGCCCAGGACAAATACTACATTGTAACCCAATTGGCAACTGGTGGAGAGCTCTTCGACCGCATCTGTGAAAAGGGAAAGTTTACAGAAAAGGACGCTGCCGAGACGATTCGACAGGTGCTTGATGCAGTCAACTACCTTCACCAGAACAATGTTGTACACAGAGGTTTGTTGTGCATCCGCTGGTTCACCACAACGATACTAACAACAGACAGATCTCAAGCCAGAGAACCTCCTCTATCTCACACGCGACGAAAACTCATCCCTCGTACTTGCTGATTTCGGTATCGCCAAGATGCTCGACTCCAAGACCGAAGTCCTAACCACCATGGCTGGCTCATTTGGATACGCTGCTCCTGAGGTGATGCTCAAGAAGGGCCACGGAAAGCCCGTCGACATGTGGTCTATGGGAGTCATCACATACACACTGCTCTGCGGATACTCACCGTTCCGATCGGAGAACCTTGCGGATTTGATTGAGGAATGCAAGAATGGCCGTGTCATTTTCCACGAGCGCTACTGGAAGGAAGTCAGCCCAGAGGCCAAGGAGTTTATCAAGAATCTGCTAGAGCCCGACCCATCCAAGCGACCGACGAGCGAAGTGAGCAAGATTTCCTCAAGTATCGATTGACGGCTAACAATGTTTAGGCTGCCCTCAAGCACGTATGGCTCAGTGGAAAAACTGCCACGGATCACAACTTGGTGCCAGAGATCAAGGCATACGCGGCAAAGGCTCGTCTCAGGCGCGGTATCGAATTGGTCAAGCTTGCAAACCGCATTGAAGCGCTCAAGATGCAGGAAGACGAGGAGGAAGACGTGCCTGGCGAGGCTGACGTGCCTGCCAACGCGCGCGAGGCTGCAGGTGAGGCCATTGCTGGACATTCAGACGGCAAGAGCCTGGAGACCAAGGAGACGCCGGGCACAGGCAAGGGACCTGGACGTCTGAGCAGAATCGCAAAGGGAGCCATCTTCAGAGAAGTTGTGCTTGCCAAAGTGCGCGAGATGAAGGAGCAGGAGGCGCGGGCAGAGTTTGAGAAGAACGCAACATCAGAAAAGGCAGCAAGCAAGTAAAGGGGCTTGTTGGGCAGTCTTTTTCCTTGTTGCTGAGGTGTTGTCACAAACATGATGGGTTTGCTGCGGTATTAGCGGAGGGTCTCATTGTTCCATGTATACCCCTGAGAGACAGCAGCCAGGACACCGCGCCTAGTAGCTCTTGAATGGTGATATCAGTGTTTGTAGTTCGAAATTGGCGGGGGACAATGTGTGTTTTGATTGTTTTTATTCGTGTTACTATTGTTGGTTGATGTGTGTCCAACAACGACAGTGTTGGGTCTGTGATGCACTCGCTGCCTGGCTCGTGCACACAGTCTTGGCAGAGCCGGGAGAACCCTAGATTGAGCACTGCGGCGCGTCCACCGGGTTGACGACTGAACGCGCAACTCACTGCACCGCCGCCACACTCGTTACTCGCCTCGAGACCTTGTGGGCCTCGTTTGGATAGACTACGCGATCGCAAAAGTACCGGCAATGGAAAGCGCGGCCAAACGGAAAGCCGCCAACGCCGCTGCGAGCGACCACGACAATCGCCCTGCGAAGCGACAAAAAGGGCCGGTACGTGCAGTTCATGGGCGAGGGTTGATGCATCGTCGGGGTGTGTTCTGGAGATGCACAAGGCGTGTTGGTCGCGATGCGGGATGGGCTCTGGACAAGAGCGCGCGACACCTGGGGGGCTCGACGAGTAGCCACCACCTCCGTCGGCCCCTCCTCGCTGCCCCCAACACCACGCGCGCGCCGGCGATGCATCGAGGACTCCCTGGAGAACCATTGTCGAATAGCCTACGAACCTTTGCTGACAGCGACCCGCTCGCGTGCAGGCCGACACCAATGCCAACTCGGAGACGGTAGCCTCGACGACGACGGCCGGCTTGAAGTTCCTCGACAGCCTGAAGCAGGCAAAAGACAAGACGTGCGTGCTCGGCCTCTGTCGCTAGTCTCACATGGCATAGCTTCTACGCCTTCAGGCGAGCAATTCCCGCGATTCCTTACTGACAGCCTGCAGGGGACGACCCATAGCAGTTCACTTCCTTACCCTCCCGGATAGGGTATGTTCTGGTCCCGTTGCCATCAGGGCCCACACTGACAGCCGTGTCTAGGACGAAGTGCCCGACTACTACGAGTATACCAAGTTGCCCATTGCGATAGACACCATCGAGGTACGCTTACTTGCTGTTTGCTCCTTTGCAATCTTCACCCATATATCATGCGCCTTCACCACCGCCAATCCGAATTCAATACTACCACCCTATATTATTTGCTACTATTCATACCTCTCGTGCGGGATTGCTGACTCGAGGCGCCTCAGAAAAAACTACTCAATGGAGAATATTCCAGCCTGGCTCAAGTCGAGAGCGACTGTAAACGACTCGTCAACAACGCAAAGGCCTACAACGACAAGAAATCAGTCATCTACGAAGATGCTGAGCGCCTACGCAAGACTGCCTCCAATTGGATGGTGAAGCATAATCCAGCATACCGGGACGGCAACTACGTCGCAGTAGCTACTCCCATTCCTGGCGAAGACAACTCGACTCCCTCAAAACCGTCGCCCCGCGTCGTATCAACGCCCAGAGTCCCACAGACACCCGTTACACATGACACCGTCGAACGCCCTCGGCGAGCAGCTGCTATTGCAGCATCAGCTACGCCAGCCCCATCGAAACTGCGACAATCGGCGTCTGCAGCGCCTGATGACAACGATGGTGCCGAGTATACAGGCAAGACCTTTCAGCAGGCACAGGAACAGATTGTGCGGGAGATTATTGAATACGAGGAGTAAGTGGTGTATCTCAGCTGCACTGTATTGCATCAGTACTAATACCCTTCCAGTCAAGGCCTACAGATATTCGTCCCCTTCCAAAATCTCCCATCACGGAGCTTGAAGGACTACTATCAGTTGATCAAGGATCCCATGTCGCTGTCTGCGATACAGAAGAAAGTGCGGGGCGTCATTGGTCGCGAAGCTCCTACAGGCCATACCCTGTTCAAGAGCTGGGATGCTTTTGAAAGTGCATTCAGCTTGATCTGGAAGAATGCTCGCATCTACAACGAAGACGGGAGTGATATTTACAATTTGTCGTTAGAGCTTGAGGTACGCTGAATCCATCCTGACTGACGTCTTTTCTAACTTGCCCAGGAAATCTTCTACAAAAAACTTGAAGAGGCTAAATCAAAGGTCAACGAGCCAACACAGCCGAAGCTCAAACTTAACATGTCGACGGCATCAGCAGCTCCTAAGCAGCAACTGAAGCTAAAACTCAAACCAAGTCCAGGCTCAGAGCCTAATACTCCAAGTGCTCGCGATTCTGCAACTCCGGGCGTTATTGTCGACAACGACGCTCTTTTACGGCAGCAACGGCATGTACTCAACAGCATGGGGAACCAGTCATCACGAGCCGCGTCTGGCGAAGCAGCAACGCCTGGAGCATCAGCAAATCCGTTTTCTGGGCCCAAGGGCGGCGCTTCGACGAGCGCTCCATTGTCTGCTGCCCAAGGTAAAACTGGGGGGTCTCCACCAGCTGTCAACGGTGTCAAGCAAGATGTGCAGTCTCCGGCGCTGAGCGCAATAAGGCCTGCAAGCACCGCGCCCGATAGCTCACGACTCAGCGTTCCTGTCCAAACACCGCATCCACACATGGCTCCACCACATAACATGTCTCGCACAGCCAGCGGCAGTCCACATCCAAATGGCCTTGGTCTGCAGAATGGCCACTACGCTCCTCCACCACAACAACAGAGCTACCATGCGCCTCCTGTACCACGAGTTGATTGTTTCAGGAAGACCCCACTGAAGAGTAAGTCCAGTCTGTTGGGATGATTGATATTTCTTACTAATGGCCGTGTAGATTACCAAGATGCATTAATACCCAGAATCACACTAAATACACATCCCGCTCTGAGCGCATCAAAGCCATGGTCCGTCAACATACTCGCCAACAAGCAGAAGACCATGTACAGTGCCACCATGGTTGTCGCGCCCGCCCACTCCTACATCCAAATTGTACCCAAGATCCCCATTGCACTTACCAACCGCATGTACCGCCTGTTCGTCACCGTCAACGGCAACAAGACTCTTGAAGCAAACCGCGTCCCAGTCACAGCCGGCATCAATGGCGCCAGCCCAGGACCCGGTTACGAAGGCGGAAAGAAGAAAGGCGAACCCCTGTTCGAAGCCAAACTCCTCAGCGGCGTAAATCGCATCGAAGTTGAAATCATTGCGGAGAAAGAAAGAAAAGAATCATCATCTGAAAATGCGGGAGCTACGCCTGCTAAGAAGGAAGACGTCGAGATTGAAAAGTGTACTATTTTCTTGCATTTGCCGCGACAGCCGACGAACTAGGAGTTTGAGGACTGTGAGGGTGGAGATGCCGATGCCGATGCCGATGCCGATGCGGAAGCTACTGGGTGATTTATCAGTCCGCCAATGATATGAGAAGATGCAAGACAGAGAGATGTGTGTGTGTGTGTCGAAAGGCTGCAATAGATGTAGTACGCATGTGTGTTTGTGTATGTGTGATATTAACTTGTTTTATTTGTCTTTCTTTCTGTCTCTGGTTTTTTTTTCACACTCTGTTGAGAGAGAAAGGGAGATGGAGATGAAGTGGAGTGAGCGAGGGGAAAGGGAAGATAAACATGGGATATTGGCGTTTTCTTTTTCAACTTGTCTCCTACTACTTTTTTTTAGCGATCATGTCATTGAGGGATGAGATTGAGATGGAGATGGGGAGTCGGAAAGGTAGTTATTTTAGGATGGCCACTGAGGAGGATGAGAAGTTATATCATATCAGATCACTTTCTCCTTTTTTTTTCCTCTTTTATTCTCAACGTGGGTGTAAAACCGGATTTAATGTCAACATTTCTACCATGCATGTGTAATCCCCCACTCGTCCCCCTTCTTCGTCAGCAAAGTCAAGGAAGCGCGCTACGTACTTTTATCCAAACTCTTACCCCCCTTGCGTTTTCTTTAAGTGTATAAAGCCTCGTGGTGGCGCATACTAACTTAGTCCACCCCCCCCCTAGTATATCCCCCAAACCTTCTTTTTTTCCAAGCCAGAGCCTGCGAAAGTAGTGTCGATGTTAGTGTCGACGGTTAGTGTCAAGCGTTAATGCAAGGCTGACTTGTGTAGCGTTGAAGTTTATATATTTGAGGGGGTGTGGGCGAGATGAGATGAGTTTTTTTTTAGTTATGGAAGTGTAAAAATGAGTTGGTGGGTGAGATCGGATAGTAAGACCGGGAGGTGCAAAGAGTGGTATGATATATGCTTGCCTTCTTTTTTTTTCGTTATGTTTGTGGTTTTCCTAGGGAGGGAGGCGTGGGGGATGGTGAAAGGCGAGGGTTTTTTTTGGTGGGATAGAATGGATGGGGGTTTATTAGTGCTGAACTATTGCTGCGAATTGTGAGTTGGCAAGATATATATTGGTTTGTGGATGTATGGTGTAGTTGTTGTTGGATACGAGGTCGAATGAGTGACACTGGAACAATATGCTTACCCCCGCTTGTTGCTATTTTGCTCCCAGGTGCTGTTATACAACGTGACTTATCTGTCTCTTGGATCGTGTAGCGTGGTGCAGTGTAACTGGGACGACATATCAAAACATGTTTTTGCAGTATTATCTATTCAAGGGAGTGATATGGTTATCCTTCCTCTTCTAATTTTCTGCATCAAGTGGCTTCTTGGGTTTATGGGTTGGGTATTTAATGCGCATACATGTACATGTGGTTCTGCGCAGGCGGGACCCCAATATCCGTTTTCCTAGATGGGAATATAGTCAGGATGACGGGTACTTGTACAGGTGGTGCATGCCGTTGCGAGGTTACATGGACTGTAAGATTGGGAACTCGAATGCAGGTATTTCGTCATCGAGTAAGCGCCTGCAATGTTGAGTATGTTAGGGAACACAAGGAGTGTTAAGATACGCTGTTGAAATGAATATCTAAATAGCCCAGATTCCTGGTGTTTGAGTTTTCAGTTTCTTTCATCCCCTTTTCCAATCCAAGTCGCAGCTGTATTAAGAACTCCTAACATCTACTCTACTCACTCAACTAAAACAAGAAAAAATAAACCCATGGATTCCACGCCCCTCAAACCCGGCCTTCTCTTCGTCCACGTACGTCTCCACAACCCAATCGTCTCCATTGCCCCAACCTTCCTCCGCTGGACAAAACTCCACTTCCAAGACCTCCTCAATCTACCTGCCATCCCCTCTTCCAAAGCCAAAGTAGCCTTCTGTCTACGCGCCACCGCACCTGACGATGCTGAGAACTACTCACACGAAGAGAAATCAAGCGCAAAGTCTGCAATCGTGCACATATGTGCCATAGACGATCTATCCGTGACAAAAAGTAAACCCTTCCGTGACATAAGTCCGAAACTGAATGTAGAATACACGCGGCCCCTCGGCGCACACGAACAAGCAGTCGCTTACAAAAATCCAAACGACACCATTGACAAGGAGGCAATGGTTTCCGAAATCGCCAACTCAAAACTAGCCGTGTATGACGAAGTTGATTCAAGCGAAGAGGAGCGATTCCACGCCTTGATGCCCGAAAACGTAGATGGCTGCTTGGTCGGAGTGCATTTTACACTGCTCTCGTTTTCTGGCGATAAAAGCGATGACGCGATCGAAATCAAAGACTAAATAGTAGAATTTCTATAGAAAGATGGCGCACCGGGGTGCAAAGTATGTGCCTCGCTCTACCGTTGGGCGGGCAAAGAGGCTCAGCCCGATGGGTACCCAGCCATCGATGTGGAAGGAGATGCACAGTGGATGGCCCTGGCGTGGCTTGAGCAGTCAGGTTCCAACAGGGTGTTGCAAAAGGATGTCGATGGTGTTATTGGTGCGCGTGTCAAGTCGGATGGAGAGTCCAGTGTAGGGGAAGGAGGCAAGATTGGGTATGGGGTCTGGGATATTGAGTTACTTATGGAGTAGGGTGATGATTGTTGGTGAAAATGTGGGGAGAAAGATGAAAAACGGGCTGTTGAAGCAGTGAGGTGAAGTGAAGTTTTTCATATGATGATATCAGTGTATTGGCTAGATATCCTCTTTAATCAGCAGTGCAATAGTGAAGACATATTTTGAGTAGGAAGAACTTTGCTTATGAATGAGAAGTAACTTTGGGAAGAAGGCATATAATTTATAACAATAGCTCTATGCATTCTCATGTGTAATGTACTGAACTTTTTTTCTTCATATTCTAGTTTTTCTCTATATACAAAAAACTATACTGCTATCAGACTTTAAAGAACTGAGGAAAATGACTCAATAGATTATTCAAATCAACTTCAATTTCTTAGAATTCATTCTTAGAGGCTCTGTCAAGATCAAAAGCGCAAAAAAAAACATACAACAGCGGGGATTCGCCAGTGGTCACCCACCTGACTACTAGTCCGCCGGTCGAAGATTTAACGTGTGGAGAGCGAACGGGATCCGGTGCAATACTTCGCCGATGGTCGTATGTGCCATAAAAATCCGGAGTAATGTGTTAGATACTCATTCATCAAGTTTTTGTGAAAATAATGCTCAGTTGCACATCTCCATATCTGACACAGTTACTGACAAGACTCGGCCAGCGCGGAGCTCACCCGCTCCGCGGCTCCAGAACACGATAAGCCGCATGCTCGGAGTAAGACGGAGGAGAAAAAAAATTTGAGGTTGAGTCTGTCTCATAGGTAGTGGTTTCACGGTGCGAGTAAAAAGTAAACGCCTAGTCTTGGTGAAGCATTTGTGGCGTACATGTGCAGGCGGCTCGCGATAACGGTTTGATATTTACATAAACAGGTAGACCATTTGGAGAGTGTGCTCCGAGGATGCAGAGTCATTCATTTGCAACACGAAGGAAGCTGGGCAGTGTGGATGTTTGTAGGCTTGGTTTGTCGTTTTCGACTTTGCTTCCGGCCTATTCTTAGTTTTGTGGATTTTTTGGAATTCTGGCTTGGCTTTGGGGGTGGGATTAGGAATACACTTGACATGGATAAAACATGATTACATAGGTGGGCTTGGTAGTTTTTTAAGGGCAGCTGGTATTGTTACGGAATTTGTCATTGCATGTGGAGGTGACATATGTATGGCCAAGACCTGACGATATAGTATATTCCATTTTTTTTGTTTTTGCATTCCAGATTTCAATTGGCAAAAAGCCTTAGCATCGAGGACAAGAAGAACCAAGCTTACTGCAGGCAGAATAAGACGTTCCGTCTGTACAGCAAGAACGAAACAGAGACGGAACGGAACATGAGACCCTCGAAACGCGTATGAGAGGCTGGCGGCGCGCCAAGGCCGTGACTACTACGTAGTACGATTGCTTGCTGGCAGGCGAGAAACGCCAAACCAAACTTCCAAACACGGGTCGAGTCCAATCGCTTGCAAACGCTCTTCACACCCCCCCTCCACTTCCAAGAATGACGAATTTGGACATGCTGCTCCTCAAGGGAGCTTCTGCAAGCGACCCGGAGGAGTACCTCCAGGAATTACGTTACACAATCCTGACCAAAGGCATTCCCGCAAACAGCGAGGGCATGGTATGTTGCTACTCCGCCTGCTCGCTCTGCGCGCGCCCCTTTCCCCAGCCCCACGAAAAATAAAGAGCCACAACAATGGCATAGGCTACATGCATGGGCAAAGCATGGAGAAAAAAAGGCGCTCGAGCCCTTGTGTGTCTCTTGTGAATCCGCAAAATTAAAAAGGCTAATTCGACGTCATGTTCGCCATCAAAACAGTCGGAACTACGCATCTACATCTGGCTGATCCTGCTCAACGCGCCGCCGCTCCGTACAGACGTGTACCTCGACCTCGTCCGACAAGGCGCCTCGCCCGCACACGCCAAAATCCAAAACGACACGTTCCGCACCTTCCAAGGCGATCCCCTCTTCCGGCGCCGCGTCACGCAAAACAGCATTACGCGAGTCCTCAACGCCGTGGCGTGGCGGCTCAACGATGCGCACGAGGCACGTGTCAATGGGTGGCAGTCGCCCCCCACGCTATCAGAGTTCGGCGGCAGCCCAGACACATCGACCATGATGTCGCGGCACTCTGCGACGGGCGGCGCGCGCACAGAGGCGTCGACGACGAATGACGCGGAGCAGATTGGCTATGTGCAGGGCATGAATGTGCTGTGCGGACCTTTTCTGTACGCCGCCCGCAGCGAGGTCGAGGCGTTTACGGGCTTTGAGAAGCTGATTACGCAAGAGTGTCCTGGTTATGTGCGCGGATCCATGGAGGGTGTGCACAAGGGATTGGCGCTCGTGGATAGGGTGCTCGAGGTTGTGGATCCCAAGCTCTACGAGTACCTCATGGCGCACCATATGGAGGCCAGGATCTATGCTTTTGCCTCTGTGTTGACCATGTGTGCGTGTACGCCGCCTCTGCCTGAGGTTTTGCAGCTCTGGGACTTTCTTTTTGCCTATGGTCCCCATCTGAACATCTTGTGCATTGTTGCTCAGTTGGTTGTTATTCGTGCGGATATTCTGACCAGTCCGAGGTAAGATGGCCTTTTTTTTTCCTTCTCTTCTTTTCTGTCCACCGCATGCTAAACATTCTGCGTTACAGTCCCAACACTATTCTGCGTAATTTGCCTGGCTTGAATGCTCAGAAGATTATAGGTGTGGCTATGAGCTTTGCGGGCAAGGTGCCAGAGGATATGTATGCTGAGATTATCAATCACGCAAAGTGAGTGGGGGGAGGAAGAGGACATGTTGATGAACGAAATATGGCGTTTATGATTTACGATTTCATGAAGGAACGATACCCAATCGCATAGTAATACGCAGACATATGATCTTTTTTCGTTTGCAAATTCAATGAACTTTACGTTTTCTCAAGTGTTCACGGGATATCAGCATCATCATCATCTCCGCCAAAGCCAAAGCTGAAGCCTCCACTTTCTTCCGCTTCACCATCCCCCTTTGTTAGCTGCTCCCATTTCCCTCTACTCTTCGTCTTCATCTTCTCCAACTCTGCAAGGCCTTCCTCGAGCAAATCGGGATGCTGCTCACCCAGCCTTTCTACAAAAAGCTCATAAGCCCTATCGCAGACGTCCTCTTTGAAACCACTGACTTCTGCCCTTTGGTCGCGGAGGAAGCCCAAGACATCAGGTAGCTTCTTCCTTGGGACAAAGTTCTGCGTCAACGCAAGACTATCTTCGAGGTTGAGCACCAGGTGGAACCATCCAGAGGGCACATGCAAGACTTCGCCGGCATAGCAAATACCCTCTTTGCAGCCTGGAGTTTGGCGGGCGAATTCGTGAAAGGTTAGCATATACTCTGCAATGCTTAGTGGGGAAGTAACCTCGGACTGGTCTTCTGAAACAATGACGCCTGGGGGCGGTTCAATGCCTGGGCCAGCGGGGAACATGAGCCAATATTTGCTACCTGTGAGAACGGCATTCCATGCTGATGTAGCGTTGGGGTCTTTGTGGAATGTCGAGCCACTGCGCTTCGGGCCCATAATCATCCAGCGGCAGTCTGGGCGGTGTTCGCCTAGAACGCCAAAGAGGTCGTCGCCAAAACATGTGGGACTCCAGTATGCTGCTTCTTTGGAGTGGGGTGGTGCTGATATGTCGATGCCAGTCTTGTCTGCAAATGCGCGATCGAAAAGGTACAAGGGCGATTCGTCAGCGTTGTCGTGCATATATGACATGTACTTTTTCATTGGCCAGTCGACTGCTTCAGCTCTAAACTTTGTTTCTGGGAATTTCTCGAGCAGGTACTCTGGTGTCCAGGTACCGTACACGGGCCATTGCTTGACAGGTGTGGTGAGGATGAAGGGTTTGTTTACCCAAGCTTCTGCATACTCTTCGTAGGTCAGATCTGACAGCCGAGCTATCTCGTTTTGCTTTGGAATGTTGAGTGCATAGAGATTGAGAGGGGTATGTGCACATTGGAACGGGCGGTAGAGAGTGTCTGAGAAGAGATTTTTGCAGGGAATGGAGGTGACATGCTCCTTAGGGATCTTGAGATATGTCGCTCGCCAAGTTCCGCGCCATTCGAAGTCGTCGGCCGGAGAACTATTGGCAAATTAGCTATTGCATACGCTGGATAATTGGCAGTGTTTGACTAGAAGAAAGTGGCTCGAAGTAAGAAACACGCTAGCTCATACGGGATAGCCAATCAGACCGTCGGATTCAGTAATCGTTGACGCTTACCGCCAACGGTCGACCTCGATCCAATCCCGAGTAGAGGAAATGTGAGAATAGACAAAGAAACAGGCAAAATGCCCAGTCCACGGCTGGAGACTTGACGAGTTGAGTCATACCGCTACTCGCGCACTGGGCTTGTGATTCCGAAGGCTACAGCAGTATGGCAATAAGGCGACCAAGGACAGTCATAGCAGACAAAGGTCGTGCAGCGTGCGCAGACAACGTGCTCGGACAGCCTACAAGGAACAAATCCTTCCTGCATATCATCTGATGGAAACCATGGTGGCGGTGTAATGGAGAAAATGACAAGAGGCGAAGAAAACAGAGCATGCATGTGTCGACCCGTGGTTGATACTTACTTGACGAATAAGGCTCTCCACAACTCGTCCAGTCTGGTGTAAGCATAGAGGGCACGGCAGGTACTGCCCAGGCGTACCAGGACATCAGCATCGAATGACTCAAGGATGTGGCTCAGTAGCTCATCGGGTAAGCTGGCAAAGAGGCCGCAGTTTGACTTGATGTTCTCGCGGGCAGTGTAGGCGTTGCCGGCCGGCTTGATGCCCAAGGGATGCGAGGGGACTGCAGTGGCGGCGACGGCGACATCCTCATCGTCAGTGTCGGCTGTTGCCACTGCACACGTCTTGAGCTTTTTCGAGGGCCGTGATTCGGCAGTCGCGATGCCAGGGGGGTCTAGGATGCCGGGGGCCATTGTGAAGAAAAGCGTGGAACGATGCTTGGTGTATAACGCTGCGCAGACGGCTTCACGGGCGCAAACCGAGGTTCAGATGCAATCACGGGGAATCAGGAAGGAGTCATTGATCAGGCCTGGGGGCGGGCCTTGGATAATAGTACTCTAGACAATCCTTTGCGGGCGACTAGGCCCAGTGTATTCGTACGTCTGCAAGCATCGACGAGGATTTTGGCTGGTCTTAGCGAGATTTTGGCGCTAGCACCTGGAAAAAAATCTCAGGTGGCTCCTGCTTATAACGTCGGCTGCCCACCCACCTTCTGTCCCTCATCATCACCAAATCCACCACAACACAAAAGACACCCTTCATTCCTAGATACCCACTTGATTCTCGCGCAGAGGATCTGGTATCTAGTCTTTTCTTCCACAACAACCACTCTTTTCCAGCGGCGGCATCCAGAGGATCCCCCCGCTTCAACCCCGCCACGAGCAACTTTTCGACTACGGTCCAGCACCAGTAGTCGCTCTTCCCCAGTCGCAATCATGGCTGACAAAGGTCTTGAGGATGTGCCCGAGGGTAAGTTTTTTCTACTTCTCCCCAAGAGGTTTCGACGCCGCCGCTGCTGTGCGAAGATGCGCCCTCCTCCCCCGCAGAGCAACAGCGACGACGATAGCGATAACCGCCTCACTTGCAAAACCCTAGAGCGCACGCTAACCAACCCCGCGCAGGCCAGATCGAGTCCAACTACGATGAAGTCACCGACTCCTTCGACAACATGAACCTGAAGCCTGAGCTCCTCCGTGGAGTCTACGCCTATGGTTTCGAGCGTCCCTCTGCTATCCAGCAGCGCGCCATCATGCCCGTCATCAAGGGTGAGTTTGCCCCTCCACAAACAATTCACACCGCCCGCACCACAATCCAAACTTGCAACTGACACACTCTCCAGGAAACGATGTCATCGCCCAGGCTCAGTCCGGTACTGGTAAGACGGCTACCTTCTCCATCTCCACCCTCCAGAAGATCGACTCCAGCGTCAAGGCCTGCCAGGCTCTTATCCTCGCCCCCACCCGTGAGCTCGCTCAGCAGATCCAGAAGGTTGTTGTTGCCATTGGTGACTTCATGGAAATCCAGTGCCACGCCTGCATTGGTGGTACCAGTGTCCGCGACGACATGAAGGCCCTCCAGGATGGCCCTCAGGTCGTTGTCGGTACTCCCGGCCGTGTCCACGACATGATCCAGCGTCGCGTTCTCAAGACCGACCACATGAAGATGTTCGTCCTCGACGAGGCCGACGAGATGTTGTCTCGCGGTTTCACCGAGCAGATCTACGACATCTTCCAGCTTCTGCCCCAGTCCACCCAGGTTGTCCTTCTGTCCGCCACCATGCCCCAGGACGTCCTCGAGGTCACCACCAAGTTCATGCGCGACCCCGTCCGCATTCTCGTCAAGAAGGACGAGCTTACCCTTGAAGGTATTAAGCAGTTCTACATCGCTGTCGAGAAGGAGGACTGGAAGCTCGACACTCTGTCCGACTTGTACGAAACCGTCACCATTACCCAGGCTGTCATCTTCTGCAACACCCGCAGAAAGGTCGACTGGCTCACCGACAAGCTCACTGCCCGTGACTTCACTGTCTCTGCCATGCACGGCGACATGGACCAGGCCCAGCGTGATGTCATCATGAAGGAGTTCCGTTCCGGATCTTCCCGTGTCCTCATTGCCACTGACCTTCTTGCCCGTGGTATCGATGTCCAGCAGGTCTCCCTTGTCATCAACTACGACCTTCCCGCCAACCGTGAGAACTACATCCACCGCATCGGTCGTGGTGGACGTTTCGGACGTAAGGGTGTTGCCATCAACTTCGTCACTGCCGACGATGTCCGCATGATGCGCGAAATTGAGCAGTTCTACAGCACACAGATCGAGGAGATGCCCATGAACGTGGCTGGTAAGTTTCTGCCCAACTCAAGTATGTTTTTAAGTTCGGCTGCTAACGGTACTCACAGACCTCATCTAAGAAGCTGTTCCTATACTGCATTCATCCTACCGTCTCTCCCTACCCCTCCTGCGGTCCAGGTGGCGTAACGGTGTAGAGACGGTAGTCTTCTAATTCGAGCACGCCTGCAAGGCCAGGTGGCGCTCTCTGTTTGGTCTGGTTCAAAAGTGGTTCGGGGTGGGACGAGCAGCCGTCCTTACATCGCGGCATCTTGGCGTTGGTCTCTCATGTGCGCAATGATTTCCCTAAAAGAATGTCTGCATATGATAGACTTACGATGCTTAGTTGACGGATGGGTCTTCTTCTGCAATTTCATGTTACTTTCCTATGTCCTCGAGGAGCTGCTGCAAGTTGTCGACGTATGCATACGTGGGGGGATCTGCAGCAATCTTCCATGGCTACGCATGCGGATGATAACGATTGGGAGTTTCCTTTCATATAGAGATGCGATTCAATTGTATGAAAGTTGTTCAAAAGTTATGCTACTACTCCCGCCGCGTGCCGGTGATGTGCAATGATGGCAGTTGAATGTCTTTGACGGGCCCGTTCCAAACTTAATACTATGGTCGGCTAGACGTTGTCGGGTTACCATGAGGTTCCTGCATTTCGCCTAGGTATTGATAGCCTCGGCATATGACATCAACCCCACTGACGTCTCGCGCACGCTACAACCACTGGTCATCTCTCATGAGACCAACAACATGGCTTGCTCAACGCAAGGTGATGGCAAGCATGGCGCTTTCCCAGAGATCAGCGGTATGTCTGCGCTTTGTTGTACCGCTGCATGACGCGTTACAACATTTCCCCTCCCCATTGCCCAGCCACTACAGGTACTGATGCGTCGTGTAGCAAGCCTTGTGTCGTCTCCGCCAGTACACACCGCCGGCGACGCAATGGCACAACTGTCCCCTTACCCGACGCGCTGCGGTACTCATCCTGCTCTTCCCCGATAGCCATGGCGAGCTCAAGGTGGTGCTTACGGTGCGGAGTGCGCAGCTTCGGAATTATTCGGGACAAGTTGCACTGCCCGGCGGTACGTCACTTAATCTGTATCACGACTATGCCCTGACGTTGCCAAGGTAAATCAGATACGCTGGAGGAATCACCTTGGGAAGTCGCCCGCCGCGAGGCTTACGAAGAGATTGGACTTCCGTTGGATGAAGCAAAACTTCGGGGCTTCAAGTTAGAGCATCTCTGCGAGCTGCCTACCAATTTGGCGAAGACGGAACTTGGAGTGCGACCTTGCGTTGCTTTTCTTGGCCCGGACAGTGGGTCGTCGATCAACCCTGCTTCTTCTGAGGTTAGCAATGCCTCTGTGGAAGAGACGCTCATACCTCGCCTCGATCCCAAGGAAGTAGCCGCCGTTTTTACTGCACCATTTCATAATTTCCTGCGAAAAGAATGGGAGGGCAACGGCCCAGCGCCCGTGCAAAAAGACGGTAGGCCAGAGAAGTGGTATAGGGGTGCTTGGACAGACTGGCACGAATCACGCTGGAGGATGCATAACTTCTATATGCCAAGAATTCCGCATTCGCCCTCAGTGTTGCGCAAGCCGTCGCAATCCGCAGAACCTTTGGCCGACAACATGGAACCTTCTGGGGGGGATGCTCGACCTGCGCCTACAGCAATTGACAGTCTGAGCACGTTCAGGATATTTGGAATGACAGCTAGGATCCTAGTCGATGCAGCACGTGTCGCGTATGGTGAAGAGCCCGAATTCGAGCATAACAGTCATCATGGAGACGAAGAAATGATAGCAAACCTTTTGAAAATGGGCCGGCTGAGTGAGCAAAAGAAACCGGGCGAGATGCTGACCAAGCAGGTACTTCGCGAGGCGAGTAAGATGTAGAATATTGAGATTGGTTAGAAGGAATTAGCAGGCATTGGGTTCTCCGAGTCGTATAGAGGGTGAGGTTTTTTTTTGTGTTCAATGTCAATAAATTCGGACATGGCTACTGTATTTGCATGACTCCACTAGGCTGTGCGACTTTCTAGGCTCTTCTTATGTGAGTTGGCTATGGTTCTAGGAGATTAGCCGTGGAAAAGTTACATGGTGAACGCGTTTGAGACATAGAGGCTCTATATGATGCATTTGCTAGGGTATGCCGGAGGGTAAAGGTTCGAGTTAGTCCGCATGTTATGTAATGAATGACCGAGCAGACCTTATTAATCTACCCTGGCGGCTAGGGTCTACCCTCATGGCCGGTTGCGCAAACAAAGGCTAAGGAGGGTAGGGCCCAGTGAAACACTAGACAAATGACGGTACGAGAAGAGAGAGCATGGCGGAGTTGGGCGCGACCATCGGGTTCAGAAAGGCTTTGTGCACGACAAGACAAGACCTCGGCGGGTTGCATATGTAGATTTTTTTTATTTATTGTAGCGTAGCTAGCGACAACACTGACTTGTTGGTGGCTGGGCAGTGCTGCGCTACGTATGGCCACCAGCAAGGTTGCCATGTGGAAGGGCGCCCAAGGAACTCTGTCGCCAAGGGCACGGAACAGCCCGTTGTCTGCTAGCCTGTCAGCCTCATGTTGATCACCGTCCAGGGATGATGCCGCTGCTGCCCATAAACCCTTTGGGTCGCCTGTTCGCAGGTGTGACGGCCTGTTATTGACTGGTAAGTTAAATGGATTCTTCGTATTGCGTGCCCATACGCTGGGTCGAATTGATGAGCGACAGCGTGGCCATGACTTGTCACGGTCCGAAGTAGTAGTAGTAGTAATAATTTACCTCTTGGCCGCGAATGCCATCGACTGCACTGCCCACGCTCATCGCCTCAAAGAGACCCACTGCCGAGCAAAGCAGAGCGCAGCGCAGCGCAGAGAGCACATCTGCCTCCATTCTTCCGGGAACAGCCATGACGCGCAAAGGCGACGGCGATCTACGGTCCATTTTTGATCATCGACGAAGCGGATACACAGGTCAATAGCATAAACCTTACTGCGAGTAGGACTAGCCGCCCCCCATTGACGCTACGCGCTCGCCCATCGCAATTTACAGGTATAGACAGGCGTATGGAACATGCATAGGGGAGGGGGGGGGATGGACCCGCTGCACTTGTCGCTTGTAGTCTGTAGGGCGAGGACCGAAGTAGGCGACGTACTACCAAAGACATGGCTGGATGTGAACCAAGATCAAACCCGAAAGTGGACCATGGATGCGTCTTTCTGGCACTTTTGAGACGACGTCAAGTTTCCCTGGCGGCGATCGCCAGCCAACGGTGTTGTGCATACGCAAGCATCCAAAGCCAAGGTTTCCTGAACCTTATCCTGTAAGACGCGGAAGTGGCTGCGTCGGGCGTGAAAGCAGTGGGCCTGTGTTTGGCGCGTGAACCTTGGCATCAAAGACGACACAGTAAGGTCCGCTTTACGCGTTTCGTCGCCCGTTTCAAGCCCCCCTATTTTGCCCGCGAATCGCCGTCGCTATACAACTTGAGCCGCATCTCAATCTCTTGCTGCCAAGGTCCCGCCTGGTAGGGTCTGCGCCTTGGCCATCACGGAGCCCATTCGCCCGCCGTCACCGCCGCCGTCGCCGCTGCTCACAGTGATCCAAATCGGACACTGTCCGTCCTGCCTTTGATAGGGGTCCCCACTGATGCTGGCGGGACACTCGTAGCACCGCGGACGCTATTCCACACGGCCGCATTCTATCGGTCCTGTTCTTGCTTCCAGGCTGGCCGTTCGGGCGCTGTCCATCATCTACTTACTACCTGCACGTGAGGATATCATTTGGGTGAGACAACCCTATCGCCAAAAGCAATTCCCAACATGTCGTCACTGGTGGAACCGCCGTACAGCAATGACATGCCTAGAAAGATTTGTCCTTCTCAGACCGTGACGTCTCGGAATGCGTAAGTACCTTAGCCACAGTGGATGTCAATCGACCTCAACAAGCGCTTGCCCTTGACCTCCAATTCACAATTGTGAGCTCAAACATCTTGGCGTGTCGGGCACTATCAGGGCGGAGTTTCCGTTTCTGGCACATTATGAAGCGAAGGCAACCTCAGATCGTTATCTCGAGGAACGTGCTTTGATAGCGGCCCAGTGTCAGTAGGGATGCCAGGGAGGGCGTACGCAACACTCTACCCACGCCAAGGATGTCTGAAATCCTACCATGGCGACTCGGGGCACTTTGACTAGCTGCCGGCTGCTTTTAGTGCCCGGACGGCGCGTGGTTCGAAACAGGACCGAATAGTAGAAGCATCCAGCCTATGTTGAGCTTGTCCGGCCCTGGCTCCTACATTGCTATAGTCCCTAGCACTGCCTACTCCTACGGGCCGTCTTATTACTTACCACTCCTTCTTGCTACAACACGTTTCGTTTTCCTTGCCTCTCACACCACTATCGCTGACTTTTTCCGTTTGCCTGTCTTCCACGGTGCAGGTCACCACATCTACACTCACTCACTACAGCAATGGAAAGCCGCTACCAGCCAGAAGGCCTATCCTTTGGCGAAAAGGATACCTACAACAACGACCAGTATCCTCTCACATCCAATCCCCTCACATCAAACCCACCACAGCAACAACAACAATCACCTCAACCACAACAACAACCCCAATATCCCGCCCAAGTCCGTCAGTCAAACCCATACGGCCTTCCCACCGGTCCTAGGATGCAAACACCACCAAACCAAGGGCAGTATGGCATGCCGCCTGCGCCTCGATCAGCTCAACACTCTCCTCAGAACAGCCAGAACGTGAACAACTACTCTCAGTTTCCAAGCCCTCAGCAAGGAATGCAGTCTCCTCCTCCTCAGCTACAACAACCACAGGCACAGCAACAAGCACCACAACCACAACAGGTGCTTCAGTATCAACAACCCCCACAGCAACCCCCTCCAAACCCATACCACTACTCATCTCCTCCCCCTCTTGCCCCTCCCCAGAACCAAGGTTTCCTTCCTTCTGGCGAGACAAGTCGCTCTAACACATGGGTCCAAACACCCGCACCCCTTTATGCATCCAACAATGCATACTTTCCCGCCCAAGTGGACGCTAATGGCTACCCTGTTGACGTAAAAGAGCTGCACCGACCGACAGAAAACCCCTTTCGGGATCCAGCTCCTGAACCCGCGCCTCAAATGGATACCATTGACCTCGAGAAGCTCAAGCACGGCGATGGACATGGTCACGGAGAATGGGACAAGCACACCAAGATTCCTGGAAAGAAGGACCCAAACCAGCCTTACCTCACTCCCGGTCAAAGGCTGGCGCACTACACATGGGCCAACTACACTCTTACCATGGCTACTGGTGGTCTTGGTACGCTTATCGCCATCCAACCGCATCCTTTCCCCGGCATCAAGACCATTGGTGCCATCTTCTACATCCTCAACCTTCTCCTGTTCACCGGTGTCACCATGACCATGGTTCTCCGCTTCACCAAGTACGCGGGCTCTTTCAAGGCCTCCATTTCTCACGAACGTGAAGGTCTCTTCCTCGGCCCCTTCTTCCTGTCCATCGCAACCATCATCACCGGAACCCAGAAATACGTCATCGAGTCCTACGACGTCAATCATCCCAACCGCTCGTGGGCTGTTACCACAATGGCAGTCGCATTCTGGTCGTACACCTTCATCACCTTCTGCCTGGCCTCCTTCCAGTACTCGTTCCTCTTCTGCAGCCACACCTACAAGCTCAACAGTTTCATGCCTTCGTGGCTCCTGCCCATCTTCCCCATTATGCTTGCTGGTACCATCGCATCGGTCATTGCAAAGGAACAACCAGTGTCTGCCAGAATGCCGATTCTGGTCGCCGGCTTGGGATGCCAAGGTCTGGGTTTCACAGTTGCCATTCTCATGTATGCGCATTACATTGGTCGTCTCATGCAGGTCGGATACCCCGATCGTGAACACAGAGGTGCCATGTTTATCGCAGTCGGCCCGCCTTCTTTCACGTGCTTGGCTCTCATTGGTATGGCCAATGCGCTCCCCGACGACTTTGACCTCCAGGGTGATGGCCTCATCGACGCCAAGCTCCTCAGGACTCTTGCGCTTGTTGTTGCGCTCTTCCTCTGGGTCCTTGCCATGTGGTTCTTCATGATTACTCTCGTTGCCGTAAGTTCTCTATGCATATCTCTACACTCGCACTGTTTCTAATAAGTACTCTCAGGTCATCAACTCATGGGCCGTCTACTTCCATCTTGGATGGTGGGCCATGGTTTTCCCCAACACCGGTTTCGTCATTGCCACCATCTCAATTGGCAACCAGCTAAGAGATGAAACGGTGCTGTATGTCGGCAATGGTTTGTCCATTGCCGTCATCACCATGTGGGCCTTTGTCCTCTTCAAGCACATCCAAGCCATCTACGTGGCAGATATCATCTACCCAGGCATGGACGAGGACATTGCCGACCACTAGGTCTGCACTAGCTCCTCGTTTTCTTTTTGTGTTGGGCGCATTGTCATATCCTTTCTTCGTTTCACCCGCTGTACTTTGACACATCATTTTTTCCTCTGTGAGATCAAAAGCAGTCACGCTCTTTATACCCCCGATCAGTCTTGTTGGTTGCTATTTCATCTCTCTCTCTCTATCACTCTGCCTCCCCATCTCCTTTTCCTCTCTCTTTTTCCTTGTTCATCTCCCATTTTTTCTTAAAGCCGCCAGCAGGTCTCGAAGCTTTTGTTAGATCTTCTACCCCGTTTTGTTTGCGGGACTGGGTGGGCGTATCTTTCGGTGTTATAGACCGCATTCTTTTGGTGCAAAAACAACCTCTTGTAATCAGACAAACAATACTTCGTTGTCAAACCCATCCTCTCTCCCCCATCTTCTCCTGTCTTTCACCGGCTTCTTTTGCCTTGTGTTGTTCTTCTGTTTGTCTTTTATGTCTTGCTTTCAATTGCATAGCGCGGCGTCACAAGAAATCCTAAAAAATTTGGGGAGACGGCAGCGAAATTGGACACTTCAAATTCCCTCCGGTGTTTTTTTTATTTTCATTTTCTCTTTCCTGGTTCTCTCTCTCTCTCCGCGGCTCTCATATACAACGGCAACTCTTTGCCAAAGTTGAGTGGGTTTGGGGTGGGGGAGGCAGATCAGAACCGGTTTGTTAGGGTTGGCTTTGGCGCGCGAACGAAATGGACGAAGGGCGAGGGTTATCCCACAAAAGGTTCAACATGAGCGGGAATCCCGACGTACGGTTGTTCGTCGTCGTCCTTATGGGGAATGGAAATGATTTAGATTTAGCCAACATCCCTTACAATTTTTTTTCCTTCGAAAGAAAGAAAAAAGAAAGACAAAAAAAACACTCAAAATGCATACGCGCGATTTCGTTGCCTCTTCCCATACACACATGTTTTTTTGTTATTATCTCTCCGTTTCCCGTTTTCTCTTCATCTTGTAAAAACACTCTTTCCATCTACTTAGAATCTCCCTTCGATCTTAAAAACGTTCCGTTTTGTCCCATCTTTTGTGCGCTTCTAGCCGCCTTCCTCGCCGCCTTCCTTAGGAAACAAGGCAACAAGACTCGACAAGCCATTCCAAGCTCTCAGCCCAAGCACTTTCTCGTACGACTTTGATTTACACATCATCTGTTTCCCCCTTTACCTCCCAACCGGAAAAATCCAACCCTCTTACAAAGTTCGCAACACACGTGCGAAACAAATCTCGAGACAAGAAATCCCGATACAGTTGCCCCCCCTCCAATTGCCCCACGAACCCTCCGAACCCCACCGAATCCTCTCCCACACACCTCCTCGCCCCCCCACTTATCACAAACACACAATGAGTCGCCCCCCTCACCCTGCGCTACACCTCGCCCTACAGCTTTACACACTTTACCCTATCTTTGTATTCTCCACTATTCCTCGACACGCGGCAAAACTGGCCTAAGAAAGAAGGCTTGGCAAAAAGCCTAACGGGGCACGTAACGTCCGGCGGTACTAGGGCGCTTACCTATCCATCCCATCTATCCTCACCTTACACTATTCTACAACGCTGCCAACCCTATCGTCGCAAAAAACACCTCGAAATAGGAATATAGGAATAAAACAAAAAAAATTGCAAATACTACTTGCAACCCCCCCACCCCCCCCCAACTCACCCATCACACTTGCACACACACCCCCGTTTGTCACCCTACAATCGATACAGCAAAACAATCACATGCAAATGCAGCTGCGGCTGCGACACTTGACGTAGTACTTACCATGTACAAAAGGGATCAAGTGTAATAAAAAAAAAGAAGGTAAGCGTTGCACGGCATCCGTGCGTAAGCGTTTTAAGATCAAAGTCACAAACCCGTGTGTGATCGACAACACGGGCTCGGCTGGCGCTTTTTTTCTCTTCTAGATTCTTGGATTGTTCAAGCAAAACTGGCAATGTCACCGAAAGCTTTTTTTTTAGACTTACGGTGGACAAGGGGGGGTATGGGATTTGCAATTTTGCTTGATTTCATGTTCTTGGCCTTCTTCTTTCTTTTGTTTTAGGACGGCGGGGTTATAGGTAGGGGTAAGTGTGGTAAGGGGTAGGGGGGGAAAGGGCTTGGCTTTTTGTTTGGCCGAGGCGGAGTTTGACAGAAAGGTTTGGCTTGGACTGGTTGGGTGACGAGAAAAGGATTTGTCTTGAGTGTGGAGGGTCTGGATTGGTGTGGGTTTTTGTCATTTGTAGGTAGGATTTTCGGGGGTAGGATTTTTTTGGAATTGAGGAGGGGGAGGGAGGGTGATGATGGACCGGCAGTGGAGGGGTTAGCCGCTTTACGGGGGATGAGGGTGCGATTGGGAATGTGGGTTTTGGGGGTGGGTTGCACCGTTATGCGGTGCATTGTGCGGATGTTAGAGGGGGGGGGGAAGGGGAATGGAGTGCGAAGTGGCAGGTGGGGGGGGGCAAAGGGGGTTTGTGCTCGAGGCGAGTGGAATGATTGGGGTGGGATGGAGAAGGAGGAGTTTAGGGATGGTGGAGTGGAGAGGGGCGGAAGACGGGGAAGACAGAGGAAGGTGAGTTCGGGGTGATGTCGTCCGGGCGCGGAGAGCATGTATCCGTTGAGCCCGAGGAAGGGATGGCGAGGAAGAGGGTGGGGAGGGTCGCAAGGAGGAGAGGAGGGTTGCATGCGTGGTGCGTGCTGCATGATGTAACACGGGGAGGAGTGTGCTTACCCGTGGGGAAGGTGGAAAGGCGAGGGCGGAAGAGGGGGGGGGAGGGAGATAGTGAATGAAAGGGCAGGTAAGAGGGTGAGAACAGTGACATAGAACAGCGCACATTTTAGCTATACACAGCTGATATTGTGAAAAACATTACAGAATCAGAAAGAGAACCTCATTATGTACTTGTTGTTTCTTTGCATTTCCCCCTTTGTCTTTCTACAAACTGCTTTTTACATCTTCCTTCGCCTTCATCTCGCGAACCATGCGAATCGCTTCATCAAGTCCACGCTTGGTATTCTTAAAGTACACGTACGAGAACTCGCTGCTCGCCTGGCCGCTGATAGTACGGGCTTGAATACCATGGCTTATCACGCTTCCCTATCACTGTGTTAGCAAGACTTGTTCTCATAAGCTTAAACCTGACACCTCAAGAGAACTCGTAACGTTGACCATCTTCTTCCCCTCAAAAAAAAAAGGCAGACACGACCGCAACAAAGTCGACAGTGAAAGACATGCAAAAAAAAACACTCACCCTCATCAAATGAAAAACCTTCGCAACCTCCCACCCCTCCCCCCTCGGATCCCACCCCGCCCTCTCCATATACACATTCAACACCTCCTCCATACTCGGCATACCGCTCTCGCCCAGATTCTCCTCATCATAAACCCTCAGCCCCTCCCCCTTCGTCCCAGGAGCCGGTTGAACCTTACTCGCGCGATTCCAATACGGATTAACAAGGTACACAATATCGAGCAGCGGATGCCCAATGGTACTCAACTCCCAATCTAGAATAGAAATCACGCGGGGCTCCGTAGGATGCAGAATGATATTATCGAACTTGTAGTCGCCGTGGACGATGCTGCTGTGGCCGGTGGGTGCATGGCGCCGGATGTAGTCTACTATCTCGTCGAAATCCGGGTGGGCGCGGCCGAGCGGTGCGCCGGTGGTGACGTCGCGAACGGCGGCTTGCTGGGCTTCGATGCGCGAGAAGGTGGTGCAGTGGCGGGCGTAGAAGTCTGCTGTTTTGCCAAAGGATGAGAGGCCGATGGAGGAGGGGGGGATGGAATGGAGCCAGGCTAAGGTGGAGACTACGGATTTCCAGGCTGCGCGCCGGTCTTGCTTGGGGAGAGCTGAGAGGGCTTCGTCGGTGAATATGCGGCCTTGAACGTATTCCATTATCTATTGGGGCATGTTAGTGGGTTGTGGTGTAAGGTGGGTTTGCTATGTGATGACGTACGTAGAATTCGGTTCCGATTATGGTGGGATCCATGCATAGGCAGTATACTTTTGGTACCGGGAAGCCATCGACTGTACCCAGAGCTTTGATCACGTTGTATTCGCGGTCAACGCGGTGTGCAACGGGTGAGATGATGGCTCCACTGGGTTTCTTCCTCAAGATGTACCGGTTCTTGGCGGCATCATCAACATAGTATGTAGGGTTACTTTGCCCATAGCCAATCTTTGTTGATGTCACTGGTAGCTTGGTTCCAGGTATCTCTTGTTGGAGGTAGTGTCCAAGCTTCTCATTGTCCAACTCATGTCGCGTCTTCTCTTTTCCTGCCTCTGCCATTGTAGATCACGATCTGTTCCTCTTCCAATTAGTTTCTTAGATTGATTGTGAAAGCATATAGTAGGTCTACCTAGCTATTGAGTTTGAATATTAAGTTGAGGTGTTGTACGAGTAAGCTCCATAGATTCATTGTTTAGCCTCGGCAGTGCGTCGGCGAAGGGTTTGTCGGGCGACCTTACCATGAGTAGCATCCCCAAGTGGACATGGTTCTTGTTGCCAATGCTTTTAATTCGTCAATGTCATTTCAGTTCAGGAACGACACATGGACCGCGCGATACACGCGCAAGCGTACTAGTACATTTAGCGATAAAGGTTAATTCGATCTCTACTGCAGCGATCGCGCCAAATGAGCAACTGTGCTCTGGGTATCCCAAAAAAGCCTATATAAAGGTAACGCCCGAAGAGGTTAGGAAAATAGTATCCTATCTTACAGCCAAAAATTACTAGCTGTTTCAAAATCAGGCTCAAGAAATAGACGTTAGTTCGCGCACTAGAGGTCCCCTTTACATCCCCCTACAGCCCTCTAGTCATTAAGCACTCTCCTCACTACCTTCCCCACTACTGAAATAACTCTGGTCTAATCTCAAAATCCACTCTATCTTTTCCCGCTCACTTCTTGCCCGGAATATGTACGTATTTGATCGTGCGAAAACAGCAAACACGACGTCCTTGTACACTCCCGCACCACCACTTCCATTTGCACTGTTGCTGTGTTGATTCTGCACTCCGCCGAGTAACTTTGCAATCTGGGGAGAATGGTCGATGCGCGCAGTGCTAATGTTGATGGCGTTGATCTCGTCACCATCTGTGGAGTAGATATGCAGATACGGTTTTCGCAGTTCCACATATCGCCGAGTCCAGCGCGTGTTGGTCGGATCTGGTGTGAGAAGATACGATGCCTTCATAAGGTTTGGGTTCTTGGGTATGAAGCGTACCGTCGCCGTCAGGCTAGGCGTTGGACTTGGCGAAGGGGAAGAAGAACGTGGTGCGAAAGCAGCGCCGTTTGTAGGTGGCTCTAGGTTTGTCGAATTAAGAATGATCTCCGCCGGGGCCTTTTTAGTCTTCCACAGAGAGATGATGCGTTGCAGGAGTGCTTTCTGGGCATCGTCTAGTGGCTTGTCTTTTGAAGATGCCAATGCTGACGTGGGTATGCTGAGGGCCTTGGAGGAGAGAACGGAACGGGCCGTTTCTATCTCAGCAACACGGCGGCGGCGCTTCTCAACGTTGATAAAATCTCGTACTAACGAAACACCGCGGGGAGTCCAGCCTGCGAGCTGCTCTTCGCCTTTGATGTAGTCGTCCTTTGTGTTCATGCGCCAGAGATCTGTTGCGCGCTTTACAGATGTTGGACGTATCGCCACACTGAAGATCCCGACTGTTGAGTGAACAATCTTGACCGGGTTCCAGATGTTGGTCAGGGAAAAGAGCGAGGTTGGACGCATGTATGATCGACCACGGATCTGCACGAAGAGGTCAAATGAAAAGGTCATTGGCTCAATAAGCTTCGAGGACATGACGTCGAAGAGAAGAGTGGCCCGAACGCGGAAATTATCCTTTGTCGCGCGGTCGAGGATCTGCGAGGCGTGTGCAGTGCTATCCCATCGCCCAACGAATTTGACGTTTGTTGTGCCATCTGCGTTGTTTCGGACAGTGGGTGGCGAAATAAGATCTACTGGGACTTCCTTGACCGGTGAGCCATAATTAGGGCAATTGCCTGCTGCATCGACCATCCGGATATGACCCATACGCAGAGATTTGACGCCTTCCCACTGTATGGTCTCACCCGAAGTATGGGTAAGGTTCACGACAATACGACGGGCGAGGCCCTGGTGGAGCTGGTAAACACCTTGGTCCATAACGCTGCTCTGTGTGACCTCAACCGGTTGGTAGGTACCGTCGTCTGTGATCTCTTGAACCTGGATGCGGGCGAAAATGTCGTGCGTGTCTTCTGTGTAGAACTCTGATTCTGGCAGACGTGCATTGCGACGCTTCTGCTTTGGCTTCTCGGCCGAGTCGCGCATGTCATCCCAGCTAAGCAGCATGTCGAGGTGGATGTCGGTGACTTTGGCAAAGATAGAAATGCGGAGGAAGGTGTCGCGTGGACTTGGATAAGGAAGGCTCATGCTATGCACACTTTCAAAGCGAACAGGGCTTTCGTTAAAATCGGTAATCCAGGTCGTAGTGGTCGCGCCACTTTCATCCGAGATGCCGGGTACGAAGAGCACAGCGTGCACCTTTGTTCCCTCTCGCTCTGAAAACCCAATCATTTCATGCATGCCAACATTGAACTTGAGTGTGGTTGAAGGTGCCTCGGCGGATGAAGGTTCTAACGATAAGCGGATGATGCCAATGGGGTTCGAGGTGTATGGCGATATCACATCGAGGCTGAAGTCTCGAACTCTCGACTCAAACACAGCTGCAAGTGGGACATCGACATCGCCAATCCGTGTAAACTCGGGCATGCAAGGGTCGGAGAAAGGCGATTCCGGGTTGAAGTGTTGAAAGTACTCTGGGCGGTTCATGTACTGATGCACTTGGTGCATCCGCCGTACACGATCGCGGAGCTTCTGTAATGACCATAGGTGAACGACCTCATTCTTGAAGTCAATGACGCGTACGCCAACGCAAGGTTTGGACTGGCTGTCGAGGTATTCGTCATCTTCTCCTGGAATGCCCATGTTTACCAAGTCGTAGGACGAAGGGACTGTGTGGCCAACATCGACAATGCAAAACTGGAATACGACTCGCTTGTCCATTTGCTGGCTCATGACTTGAGCTTCTTTGAGAATCGCAGCATTTTGTAGCAGAGTCTCTGCCATGGTGACGTATTTCCGTCGCCGCCACTGTTTGAGGACAGAGCGTATCAGTTCGAGCTGCCGTTCGTCTTGGGCATCTTGTTCTTTTGGTGCGTTTGCCGATTCGATCTCCAGGTCCTCATCTATCTCAAGCGGAATGTCGTGTCCAAGCTCTTTCAAATGTCTTTGAAATGCCTCTTTTTGCGCTTTCATTTGCCTCTGCATTGCCTCTTTGGCAGCTCGCAGCTCTTGCAACTCCACCTTGGCGTCCTCGTCAGCTTTCAGCCTGGCTTGGAATTCATCTCTTGACTGATCTATCTTGTTCTGCATATCCTCTCGTATTTCTTGCATCTTCTCGCTACCCTCTTGGTGTGGAGTAGAAGGCATGGTCAGTGCAGTATCAAGGGAGAAATTGTCTAGAGTGCCACCAGAAGCATACTTCTCCCTGACCGGATATGAAGACATGGACTCTGTATCACCCTCATCACTAATCATCCGGCTTTCCGGCCGTGCTTTGCGCGTCTCGCGCAGTCTGCTGAGATCTTCGTAGAGTGCTTCAAAGTCTTCGTCCGGTAGATTCTCAATGCGTTTGTCTGGCCCTAACCAGGCAGTAAGAGCTTCTCTTCGCGCATAGGAAAACTCAGACTCTCGCCCTCGTTGCCAGAGCGCAGGCGATCCTGCTCTTGGACTATCAGGGTCGAAGTCGCTATTCGCTACACTGATTGAGCTGTATGACCTATCGTGGCCAGGTCTTGGAGCGGGTGAAGGAGAGCTGCCGAGCTGGCCAGCGGTGACAGTCTGTCGGAGGAGACTTGTCCCTACTTCGGCGCGCTCAGCTCGCGCTTCTTGTGGGTTGTTGAACCGGAAGATGTGAAAATCGCCGAGGATGATGCGGTGACCGCTCTTGAGGAGCCGTGGCTTATCAATACGAACACCATTGACCATGACGCTTGCACCCTCTTGGGGAATCACTGTCACCTTGCCATCCACATTCTCAAAGTTGCAGTGTTCTGCGAGAATTTGCGAACCGTTCAAGCGTATCTGTGCAGTCTGACCATCGACATCAGAGTTTCCTACGGTTGTAGTACCTGGCTTCAAATTGTAGACGAGACATTCGGTCAAGAGCGGATCGTCGCTCAAGTTTACCAAATGCGGCATGTTCTTGGGCGTTGACAGACCCACGAAGCCCTTTTCGATGCTGATACCAAGCTCTTCCAGTGCAGCTTCTCTTTCCTTGTGGATTTCTTCCGTCTTTTGCAGCTTCTCTTCCCAGGTTTGATTCAGTTCTGTGTACAGCTTCTCCGATTGTGTCAACTGTTCCGCAATCTCGGCCTTGGAGACCTTTTTGGTCGAGCCGTCAGCCTGTGTGATGGAAACCATTTGCTTTTCTAGCGGTGTGTCTGGTGGGTACTGTTCTTCCACGATGCCATTCGAGCCTGCCGCTCCGCCACCGCCTCCACCACCTCCGCCTAATTGGGAGCGCAGTTTGGAAAGCTCTTCCTTGAGTTCTCTGATCATGCGCGCGTTGGGGTCTTCGTTTACGACGGCATGGTTCTTGATGCGCTTGGCGGAGTCGGCGTATCGGAGGGTCGAGAGTGTTTCCTCAAAGTTGATATCTGCGGGAGAAATTGCAGCAATCATAGCAGTCATGCTGTTTCCTCCTAACGAATCTTTCAACAGCCACGTCAGGATGGAATCTCGGTACGGAACTTGTGCTTTCTTTTTCCCAGACGACTGGTCTGCAAGCGCCGCGATCACGCGACCCAGTGTAGACAGAGATCGATTGATTTCCGCACCCTCTTTCAATCGCGCACCAGTTGCGCCGGTGGATTGCGCTCTTTCTGATCCTGCCAAGTCTACCAAACTAATCTTTGCAACTCTTTCTCCGCTCATGCTCGTCTCGACATCGTGGCGTTTCTGGGTAAGGGTAAGGGTGAATACGGCGTGCGATCGCGAGGATGTCTCGTTCATGTTGGTCGCCGCAACTGTACGAGCCTTGTTTCCTTCGTCCATCAAGTTCTCAATCTCCGAGAAGGACTGAACCACCAGCTTGGCCAGGTCTTCGACATAGGGACCAGTAGACGGATGCTCTCGGACTCGCAGGTTGCCCTTGTTTGAGGGATTAAGCAGATCGCGTACGCGCTCGTTGTAGATTTCGAGATATGAGACCTCGACGGTGCAGGTCGAGTTCTTGTCTTGCTGCATGCCTTTTATTCGCTCAAACATGTCCTGGCAAATCTTGGGAATGATTCCGTATTCTGCGCCATAACCCATCATAGAGTACGACTTTCCGGAACCTGTCTGACCATATGCGAAAATACAGTTGTTGTAGCCCTGAAAGGCATTGTCAAGTAGCGGCTTGCCGAGGTCTTCGTGGAGGTTGTCCTGGCCAGCATAATTTGGGGCATCGCGGTCGAAGGACCAGTAGGAGCGGTCGAAGGCGAAGGTCTTTACGCCCTCGGCAGCGGCTTTGGCGGCCTTTCCCTTGACGTCGGTATTTGCTGGCGGGGAAAGAATGGTCTGGTCACCCTTCATCTGCACGATACATTGTGCATTGCGCGCCTTTTCTGCTCGCAGTTAGCCACAGCAACACAGGGCACAGGAGCGTCTATGGAATGCTTACCTCGCCCGTTGAAGGGTCGACATCGCACCACGACCTTGATGTTGCCGCCTCCTCCGGACGCCATAGTGGGCGGGCGTGCAGTGGGCGGGCTAGAAGGCGGAAATCCGGGGTATATATACTAGGGAGAAAGGAGAGGGCAACGACGGAGGTAGGTTGCAGCAGCAGCGGTCAGAGGCGGAGACTGTGAGACTTCATGGGCGGCGACTGGGGCAGTCGGAGGTGTGTGTGTGGGCGAGGATGTTGTTTTTCGGGTAAGGAGGTGGTTGAAGCCACAGACATAGGGTGTTGTTGTTATGGGAGTTGAAATCGCGGTCCAGGGACAAGCAAGCAACTTCTTAGGATTACGCGATCCTTGCACCCTGCATTCCCGCCCCGGCGAGCTTCTGGCCACTCAGCAGGCCACAGCACCCTTTTGCAATAATTGGCACGTGTAAAGAAATAGGCGCAGTAGAGCTGGCGAGGTGCTGTGCTGCGAGGATGCGGCTGAAGATTGCTGCAGGTACATCATCTGGCTCGCATCTACATGTCGAGGGGCATCTGACGGGCCATGCTCGGTACCTGGGCCCGACGGGGGACCCTGACGCTGCGTCATTCCACAAAATAATCCCACCACCACATTTACTTTCACCCTCACCACCACCACACCACCCCCGCCACTGCCACTACGCCCCCGTCGCACGCTTCAATGTCCCTCCCAGAGGCGACTGACGAAATGTTCGCGCCCCCCGTGAACCGCGCCATGAAGGTGCTCGACCGCAGTTTCTTCCAAAAAACCATCCCCACCTCGGCCGCCCGCATCTTCAACCCCAAGGACATTTCGCGGTGCCGCAAGGAACTCACCGCCGCCAAGGATACTCTGCCGAACAATCGCGTCGACCCAATCAGGGCAGATCCTGATGCGGACAAAGCGCAGCAGGGCGTCAAGTGTCTGCTCCTGCGACCCGAAGTCGTCCACACTGGTGAGTCAGCCGACATGCGCAAGTCGCAGGTACATCCAGGTGCTGAGTCTGAAGCCAGGCAGATCGAACCACATGGTCCCCTAAGCTGCGCGATCTCGAGCAGGACGGTACATTGGGCGTGATACCCTACCAGCTGCACCTCGATTACGACTACTTCACTTACTCGGAGATAACGGGCGCCATCATCCCCCCACCAGAGTCCAAACACGACGACGAAATCCCCCAGGGCTTTGCCCTCGCCGGCCATGTCGCTCACCTGAACCTGCGAGAGCGATACTGGCCATACAAGTACCTCATTGCCGCAGTTCTTGCCGACAAGAACCCCATGGTCAAGACCGTCATCAACAAACTGGACAATGTGGGCACAGAGAATGCATTTCGCACATTCCAATACGAGGTCCTGTACGGACCTGACGACATGAACGTCGAGCTCCGTGAGCAGGGCTGCACCTTCAAGTTTGACTTTGCCAAAGTCTACTGGAACACACGTCTGCACACCGAGCATGAGCGCCTCTGCAACCTCTTTAAGGAAGGCGAGGCCGTATGCGATGTCATGGCAGGCGTAGGCCCATTTGCCATCCCCTCTGGCAAGAAAAAGTGCTTCGTCTGGGCCAACGACCTCAACCCCGAGTCGTACAACTCGCTCGTAAACAACATCAAAATCAACAAAGTCGGCGACTTTGTCCGACCCTTCAACACCGACGGTGGCGCCTTCATCCGTCAAGCATCTGCCCACCTCCTCGTCCAAGACTCCCGGCACACTGTCCCCATCTACCCAAAAACCAAATTCTCCCGCAGTAACCCCCAGGAAAACAAGCAACCCGAGCCCATCAAGACGCTCGTCCAGCCCCGTTTCTTCGCCCACTACGTCATGAACTTGCCTGCATCCGCCATCACTTTCCTCCCTTCCTTCATCGGCCTCTACGCCAACATCCCCGGTTTACCTGCCGCCGACATCAAGAAAATGCTAGTTCCCCACACGGAGCAGAAGCTACCCATGATCCACGTCCATTGCTTCTCCACAAAGAGCGACGACAATGTAGCGGAAATCAAGGGTATCTGCGAAGAGATAAGTAGACAGATTGAGTACGAAATCACGCCGGATATGGAGGATGTGTATGTGCATGATGTACGCGATGTGGCGCCTAAGAAGAGGATGTTTTGCGCGAGTTTTAGGTTGCCTGAGGAGGTGGCATTTAGAGAGCTTAAATTGGGGGAAGCGTAGAAAAGAAAATGTTGAGAATATAGCCATTGAGTACTTATCTGAGATGATCCCACATGTCCTTGTTCTTGTGGTCTTCCTGATTAATAAAGATCCTATTTACGTATCCATTAACATCTCTTCGTCCCCCTGTTCTTCTTCGTCCTCCCATTCAATCCCTTCCAACGCCTTCCTCATCCCTTCTTCCATAACCACCCTTATCTCATCCGCACCCCTCGCTCTCTCATACATACCACACAGTTTCCCATCTATCCTACCCACCCACTCCACAATCCGCCCCCCAGCCATCTCCTTGTTGAACCCACCGTACGCAAATTCCGCCACCGAGCCCCAATTCAGCACCGTCTCCTGGTACATACGTGCAAATGACATGATAGAAGCGATGTCAGTGCTAAGGCGCAATGCCAAATTGCATGCAGAGTGTGGGGTTTTCTCGTGCGGCAGCGCTGTGGGTACGCGAGTGGAGCGTTTGAGGTGCTGGGATGAGTGGTTTGCTGCTTTTTCTTCTTGAGCGCGGAAGAAGGAAGTCATGGAGTTTGTGCTTGTGCGGCGGAATACGGGGGGCTGTGTGGGTGGGGAGTTGTGAGGTGGTGAGGTGTTGGGTTCGGTGCGTGAAGTGGTGGATTGGTTGGCTGGGAGATGGGATACTGGGGATACATGTGGTGGCATGGATTGCTTGTTTTGTGGGAAAGAAGGGGGGTTATTAGTTGGACATGAGGGCCTTGATCTGGGGTGAATTTGGGTTGGTGGAATGATTGGCGTAAAAGACGTTTTCTGTACCGGATGGCTGCCTGGAATTGCGACTCTTTGACTGAAGAAATCTCGGATATCCATATTCTTGTCTGTAAAGAAACGAGTAGCTTCTTCTTGCACTGACACTCCCGCTAAGCGCTTTTGTGAATTGCCTGGCGGACGATATGCTGTCGTAGCGTCCTTGGTTTTCTTTTGACGAGTAGTCCTCCGCACTGCGGGTTGATTTTGGTTGAGAGGACCTTCGCCTGGAGAAACTGTACCAGTGGCTATATTGCGGTATTGACTCAATTGCGATGTCCGGGGTTCCGGTGCCTGAGTCTCAGACCGTAGGACAGAACTTGGTACTTCTCCTCCTGCAACATGTGTACCTGTACCATCGATCGCTTGGCCTCCCAGGCGATCCAAAACCCAGTCACTAATACTTTCTGCTACCAATGATGGCGGAGGTAGGCGTTGTATGCTACGCTCAAGCTCATCATCAAGCAGTGATTGCACCGTATTCGCCTTCGAAGATGTCTGAGGCGTCAAAGGTTCTGCTGAAACCACTCGGTTAGGCGTTGCAGGTACTCTCGAGGGACTAGAACTTGAATCAACATTTCCAGTACTTTTCACTGGACTCAAAAGTTGGACATTGTTAGCGGGCGCCCTGGGTTTGATCGCAGCGTTCATTCGAGTAATAGTCCAAGGATTGGATACTTCTGCGGCGTGGCGTCCTTCTTCTTCGTCAATGATCGGAGTACGGTCGTCCTGTAAAAACTCCAGATCCTCTTCATCAATGCCGTACATGCTGTGTCTCCACCTTGGTTGCGGCGCAGGGACTGACGCCTCGTTCTGATCACTTGTGTTGTGCGATTCAAATATAGCTTCGTTCGGATTTTGATCGACCACGTCGTCTGGCTCATCGAGATTAACGACTGCTTCAGTATACAAGGAATCCAGCAACTCTTCCCAGACCCTCAAAACAATGTTACTGTCCTCAAACATGACGTCGTCTTTGGTCGGCTCGATATTGGGATCATAGCTTCCAGGCGGACAAATAATGTTGATGCAGAAGAAGGGATCCCTAACACCTGCAAGAGAGGGATTCGCCTTCCCAAGTCGCTGTTTGCAAGCATGAACCATCTGCTTGATAGTGCCACGGTTACTCGACACCGGCCGTGCATCGACCGCGACAAAGCTGCAATGACCTGAAATCTTCGACCCAACTGCAGTTGGCTTGGGTAGAAAAGCGCGAATCTCAAAGCCATCAGCTTCCACAGTAGTGAAACTGCACTGAGCAGCGCAGTCTCTACCGAAAATCTTCAGCACAGCATCGCCGACCGTAGCATGCGCTTTTGGCGCATAACTAAAGTCGCCATTACGATTCTTAGCCTTAAGCACGCGAAGCCTAAACCGAGCACTTGGCCTTGCAAGCGCATACGCCTGCATCACTCGTCGAATCTTCCCCAAACACTTTGCCGCATCCTTAATCGCCATCTGCTTCCGAACAGGTATATGCTCCAAGAACCCCATTACTTTGACAGTCGTGCCAACAGGATGTGAATCATGCGCAACACTACACCTATCAGTCTCCTTCACACGCTCGCACAATAACATCCTTTTGAAAAAGGCAAACTCACGATTCAAGCTCCCCATCCCGACTATACTTCAATTTGACAGCAACAGGGTCACCCTCCACTCTCGTCGTCACACTAAACGCGCTGCTCATCTCCGCCATACTTGCCAGCGCCTCGCCACGGAAGCCCAGCCATTTCCCTCCTAGTTCTCTCAAATCGTTCAAATCTCTTATTTTGCTGGTGCAGTAACGGCGGCAGACGAGAGATTGGTCGTCACTTGGGATGCCGTGACCGTCATCTTTGACTTGGATGGAATCAAGCGTGTTGGCGGAAATATCGATGAAGATGCTTTTTGCACGGGCATCGAGAGCGTTGTCGATGAGCTCTTTTACCACGGAGCTGTGATCGATGAGGACTTGGCCGGAGCCCAGTTGTCGGATTGTTGGGGGTGGAAGTGCAGCGATGCTGGGTTGTGCGACTGTGTTGGGGATATCCGCCATTTGGGGCTATGATGGATGTGATGTCAAAATATTCAGTATCAGACTGAAAGAATATTCGTACATGTGAGGCATGGTTTAGTGAGACTCAAATGTGAGTCCTCTCCATCGTGCCTACCTCATCCAACACGCCGACGCATAAACCGGAAGGAGCAACCCTACCCAAACCCCCCTTACATCTTGCAAACAGTCTCATGCTAACAAGACATCGTTTCAATCAACCTTTGACTTCTCATCCACCTAAATCCAATCCCTCCAAATACAGTGAACTAAACAATCCAGCCCCACGCACACATGCTCTCAAACTAACCAATCAGAGCACAGAGTTACCATTATACCTAGGTATCCCCATCTCTACCTCTTAATAAATCCGCCTCCCCCGATCTTAACTATACCCTCAAAGCTCCTGTCCTTCTCTCTCTCTCTCTCTCCAAAAAAACCCCTACCATTTACTGCCTTCCAAACTCCAAGTCCATAATGCCCACCCACACAACCCCCCAATCCCGCCACCGCGCCCTCAAAACCCGCGACCCAACCGCCCACACATCCTTCATCTACGCCGTAACAACAACACGTATATACTGCCGTCCGACATGCCCCTCGCGCCTCGCCCGGCGCGCAAACATCCGCTTCTACGACACCTGGCGCGAAGCCGAGGCAGCGGGGTTCCGCGCGTGCAAGCGGTGCAAGCCCAATGTTGCGGTACTGGAGGGGAGGCAGGAGCGGGCGGTGAGGGAGGCGTGTGAGCGGATTGAGGAGGCGGTCGGGAAGGGGGAGGGGGGGAAGGTGAGGTTGGGGGAGTTGGCGGGGCTGGTGGGGTTTACGCCGAGGTATTTTCATGGGATTTTTAAGGGGAGGATGGGGGTTACGCCTAGGGAGTGGGTGGGTAGGGTGGCTGGGGAGAAGAAGAGGAGGAGGGAGGAGGGTGGGAGGTCTGCGATGGTGGAGGTGGGAGAGCAAGCGTGGGGTGGAGAGAGCTTTGATTTTAATGATTTGATTGATTTTGGGGGGGATGCGGATCTGCTTGATCTTAATGATATCGCTGGGCCTCAGGATCAATCTTTTATGATGGATCCGGAGCTTAGCCTCGACGCGAATGGGCCTTCTCAGCCTTGGACTGGATATGAGCCTGCTCAAGCCATCTCGGGCTCCCTTCAGACTACGCCAGAAGACATAGCTTACTGTGAGAAGACGATGTCATCTACATCGACACTCGAGCTAGATACTTCAGCACTACTCAACTGGGATAGTATGGCAAACACGCGACAGTAACAATCCTTGTAGCTTCCATAGAAAAGCTGCTCCGCTGTTGCACAAGCGCCACCTTTCCCCTTGGCTGTGACCCTACATCTGCAATCCTTATTCAACACATGATCCGTGGCGCGCACTTCACCAACCGCGCACCCACGCGCGAATCCTCGAATCGATTTAAATCGCAGACATATTAACAAAACCTAATCTTCACATCGTCAGCGCAAGTCCCAAGACAACAAGTCTAGATTACGTGTAAAGTGACGGAGCTCTTCAGAGACCAAGTTATAAGCAGCGACGGCGTAGCATATGTCGATGCTAGCCATACCTTTTCCGGCTCTTCCTAAAGTATTATATGGTCGATGTACATATCATCTTTTGAGCTTATGCAAATGCGCGCATCGCAGCGAAGCGCGCACATGCTGTGATTAAGAAAAAGTTTCAAACGTACCTATTACAATGGGCATTGGGGGCCAGGCTGTTGAGTTAGCGAGGACCTAAGAGTGCGACATCATTGACAGCTTCCAGCCTCCAGCTTTATGGAGGTGTCCTGGATGTGTCAAGCAACATGCGCGGTACTTCGCGCTGTTGGTGTCGCGGTGGGTGAAGCAGAGACGTGGATGAAGAAAAGTTGAAGGGTTCGGAGGTTAGGTGCAGAAGACGCCGATGGGGACCCACATTTACGAAGCGAGGCGCTAACGGCGTTGGACTCCGCGATCCGTTCATATGCATCGAAGTCTAGTCCATCTGACTATTGAATTCTGTATAGAGTCGTTTACCATATTCGTCATGCTAGCCTGTCTGAGCGCAATAAGCCGTTGCAATCGCCACCATCATCTTTTAACCTTTACGGGCCAACGGCCTTCCAAGCACTGAGCGGATCCGCCCAGATCTCCCAGTGACCAATCTTGCCGTGCTCATCAAACTCACTAAACCGGTGGATGAACTGCTCATCCCACGCCTTTCCCGTCTTCTTACTGGCAAACCGCCCCTTGCCAACTACACTGACCATGCCTGCCTCTGCATCTACAATGAATCCCTCTTTGGCCGGGAATGCGTCACTAGGGAGCGACATGTCCAGCACACCAGACATAAGCTCGAAGTACTCCTCGCAGCCCTCTTTTCCAGAAAAGGTCTTGGCCAGAAAAGGTAGTCGCGATTGGGCCCATTCAGGCCCGTGCTCTGTGATCTTGGGCGTGCTGCTAAAGTACTTTGACAGCAGGTCTGAGGGCGGGGGAGGCGAGAGGAGGGCCTGGCAGAAGGAATGTGTGGCCTCGCGTAGAGAGGTGCTGCGACTTGACGACATGGCTGAGGGGTATTTCTGCGAATGGAGGGAGCCGCACGACTAGTTGTTGTAGTGGTAGTGGTGTGCTTAGAGTCGTCTGGTAAGCGCTGCACGTGGACTTGTTGTGCGTCGATGTACGTTTGACTGGCTCTGCGGCATGTAACCCTGTGCGGCCTTGAGCGATGACTGGACCCACGACGACTGTTGTGGCTTATATGCGGGACGGTTGGTCCGTCTGGTGGGTGAGCTAACAGTCGGTCGGTGTTGTTTGGCGAAGCGGTGGGCGTCGGCTGGAGACGTATGTAAGACTTTAGTTGTTGGGGCCAAGACAAGACGGCTACTAAGGGAATAGTCGTCGAAGGAGTAGGGGTCCGCTAGAACAAAGGACCTCGGTTATGCCTGTTCCGGCCAGCAGTAGTGTTGAAAACGGAGGTCAGGTGGGAGCAATGGGATGGCCACGGCTTCGTTGTTTGTATGGATGTAGGTACGCAGAGACCAATGAATGAAGTCATAGTGATGTCCGCCCAGCTGCTATGGACTCTGGCAGCTATGGAGTGAGATGGGACACACCAAACAAGTGCAATCAAACCGTACGCATTGGGTAGTTGCTCCTTCCCATCTTGCTGACATGTTGATCGCTTAGTCCAGCCGTTGACGAAGGCGGTAAAATACATCGTCGCGTACTTCCGTCGCTTGTCTAAAGAGGGTTCCATGAGCCGGTCACCATCATTTCATGCAAAGCTTATCGCACATCTTCCTTAGACCCGTATGCCCTGTCCACAAGGCCACCAATCACGTCGAGTCGTTGCAGCCGCGCCCTTTTTACAAGTACGTCAGCAAGGCTGCTGTGCAATTTACAGGCGTTGCAAATCATGTAGCTTACCTGCAGTGATGCTGCGGTAAACGCCTCTGTTGGCTCCAGCGGAGATATTAGGGATGAGTCAGACGGATTATGCCGATGTCAATACCTACGTAGGTACAACAATATGGCTCTCTAAAGTCACTTGAAACAGGATATTGCAAAGTCTTGGGGAATAGAATACATTTTGATTGTGGTGGGAATCAAGGTTCCATGCAAAAAGTCTAAAACGCCGAGTAATGGTATCTATACCGTGCCTCACGGTTCCTGTAAAACGCCTATCGCTAAGACAATCCAGCGTCATCATTCAGCAACTTCAGCTCAGTCGGTCCCAGCGCTGAGATCAACTCAGCCCATGGCCGTGAACAGACACACTTGGCGGGCCATCTGGCTCGCTAGTAGGATCTCCCTAAAGACCTGGTCCATGCCTCCCCGGAAGTGGATAGTGTAGCTATCGACTTTTCCCTTTCTCCGCTTCTCTCCCCACACCAGCTTGATTGGCTTTGCATCGTCGCACCGCTTACCCGTCCTGCTGCCTGGCTTTGCCCAATCCTTTTGGTACTCATACAATGTCTCTGGCATAGCGTCGTCGTTGGGGTCCCCCTGCTTCCAGACAAAGCGCCGGCCACCATAGGTAAATCGTCGCGGAGACCACGGGATCTTTTGCTGCCTATCAGGGTACTCTTTGACTGGTTGTGAAAACGGGCCGCGGAGGTGGATGCATCGTGACTTGTAAGCAGCATCTTTGGAGGAATCGGTGGTTATGCGCTTCTTATCGATACCAGAAAGGAGGACTGATATGCATGGCTGGGGGAACTCTGCGACGCGGAAGAAGTCTGCGGCGTTTACTTGGCTGTCGTCGCGATGTGTGGCCTCGAGCATGTATAGCATGTACTTGTCGGAGTGGTCTCGCGCACTGTAGATGTACTTTCGGAAGCCTGACGAGCCGGTCCATTCCCGTGTGCGGTGCAAGTGAAATGTGGTTGTGGGTAGCGATGGGTCAAGAAGAGCATGGTAAGGGATATCTGTTGAGGGGAGTTGATCATGTAGTGTGTGTGAGATTGGTGAGTAGGAAGTCTGCCATGTGAGGAGGTTGTGGATCTGGACCATTGTCAGTCATGGATATACAGAAACATAGGTAACCAGACTGCTACATACTGCTGAGAGAGTCTCGCTCTCCTCGTCCAAGTCGCCATTGGCGCCCCATTGATTTGGAGCGGGTACAAAGACGCATTCGTTGCCCTCCTCGTCAATCTGGTCACTGCCGCTTTCGAGGTGGGGACGCAGGGCTCGTTGTCGTTCTCGGTGGATGGTGATCTGGGTCTTGATGATTCGCACTTGCTCGTCGGAGAGGTCGTCTGGCGAAATACTAGAATAGGCCTGCTCTATTTCGTGTTCGAGTTCCAAGGCAGCGGCTCCATGTTGCATGTAGGAGGTGTCGTATAACCAGGCATGTTCGGATTCAAAGGCCGAGCTTCGGAGCATGTGGAGGTTATCGCGGGATGTAAAGACCGGGCGACCCATTGTGGGCGATATTGGTGCAATGTATGGGCAGTATGCGTAAGTGGTAGATTGTGTGTATAGTCGTAGCAGGCGGGTTGGAGGGAGTGTCAAGTTCCAGTGCAGTGTTTCAACCTGGAGGAGGAGGGCAGGGCATGAGGGAGAGCGGGCAAGACATGCAAGACATGAAGGACCGAGGGCTGAAGCAGATAATCATGGCTGGCTAGCTCCATGCTGGCACCAGCTGATGGAGCAGCATCCGGGAAGGTATGCGAGTAGCGGGCCCTGGTCATACCGACGTTTGGTGCTGTGGCACGGGGGCGTCCTGGGGCCAAATTGCGGTGGCATGGGCTAGGCGGCGCATGGGACTAGCCGGATGGGGTAGTACGAGATTGATTGTCAATGTAACGCGAGCATCCAGACTGCTGCGCACGACAGTCGTGCATCGCTCGAGGCGGGGGGGTCTTGCGTGTCCTGCGTGTCCTGCGCTGTCCTGCATGTCGTCTTGCATGTCTTTGCACTTGGCCCCAAGACAGAGCGTGCAAAAGGCTCCCCAGGCTGAGGCCGGGTGGAAATTGGCGTGGCCCCATTCTTGTCCCTCTCTGTCATGCGGCCGTTGCCTTGGGCTGCCATGCCGCCATGCCGCCATACTTACTACTACTATGCCGCCGCCATGCCGCTTCTGCCTGCCCGCCCTGACAGCTTCCTCTCACCGGTAGCCCCAACTCCTCCATCCATCATCACCAACCACAACCACCACAACCACCACCATCACTCCAACACCCCCAACACCCACACCACACCCACCGCCTAGCGCCCATCGGACTCCGAACACGCTGGCACCCCGCGACGGCCATGGCCTTGACACACCACCTGGCGCCTCGCTGCGCGCTGAGTACATGCCACACCAGAGCTGACACGCTTACACACCCACTACCCCACATGGCCCTGTCCGGCACCGCCGTTGCCCGCTCGGCTCCCGCGACGGATGCAAGATAAGAGCCACGCCCCTCTACCAGTTCGCTTTCCCTCGCAGCCTCTGACGGACCGTGGGGCGGCGGATCGACAGCATGGCGTCCTTTGCACAAACCATTCGCTAGCCTTGCCCTCTCTTGTCAGTACCTACTTGTACTTACGTACGTACGTACGTATCTGCTACTTGCAGTGAGCATGCACGCCGGACTCGCTTTCTCTGGTTCCCCTTGGCCCTACGCGTCTTAGACAGCCACCACCAACTCCTTCCTGGCCCCGTCGGCCCATCTCTCCACGGCCCGCTTGCGGAGCGTCCATAGCATGTATGTATGTACGTATATATTGCCTTTGAGTGCAGAAGCCGCATGCTCAGAGAGTTTGCTTGGCGGTTTGCACGGGAACGCG